GAGGTTCAAGTCCAGCATTTATCCCCTCAGCTGCTTGCTGCAGCCACGTGGATCAGCCACTTTAGCAGAAGGGTCCCAGGCTGCCCCTGCCCCCTGCCCTGCCCCTGTGCCAGGCTCACCACGTCGATCTCGGTGTTGGAGTGCCCCATGTTGCAGCCAATGCAGCTGTTCTTCATCCTGTCCAGGTGCTCCCTGGTCACCACGTTCTTGTTACCTGCCCGACAGCAGAACCCAGGGTCACTTCCCCCACCTTCTGCTTTCCCCTTTGGGAGGAGCTGGACCCTGCTGTGCACCCCTGGGGACTCATCCTGCCCCGGGCACCACGTACCTGTGCAGGTGATGACGATGTCAACCTGCCTGATGACTTCATTGAGCTTCACCAGCCTGAATCCATCCATGCTAAGAGAAGAGAGGGGGGAAGGTGGTCTGAGAAGCAGCCAAAACATGGCCAAAATAGACCCCCACCCCCATCAGGTGATCCTCAGATGCTCCTTTGAGCTTTCTGAAGGCAGAATGGGGCGCAGCGACTCAGCATGCCAAGGGCCACGTGTCCCAGGTCATCAGAGGGCTTCTGGAGTCAACCTGGAGGATCTGGGACTGTGTGGGGACAAGGGAAAAGAGAGCTGGGGGAGTTTCACATTTTTTTGTCAAGGCCTCCACATCTGCCATCTCAGTTTTCTTATAGCTGCTGCTCCTGCCAGGTGCAGCCTGAAGATGCAGCCACAGCCTCCTGCTGCAGAACCCTTCCTGATGTGGATTTAGGTCATCCCAAAAACACCCTGAGCCACCCAAAACTAGCAGCTGACTCCCTGCAACCCAACCTGAGGCACCTATGAAGCTCTCCAGAAGGGCTGAGCCCTCAGCAGGTCTCTCCTGACTTCCCTGAGCCAGGTCTGCTCAGCACAGCAGCCAACAAGGGCAGGAGAGGGGATTTTTTTTTAGGATTTGTTGAAAATCCTCCCAAGAACTTATTGCTGTGACTCTCACAAGCTGCAAAATCGTAGTTACTCTAAAAAAAAAATGATTTTTTTCCTGCTGTGTGGCCCATTTACTGTTTTCTTCCCCCATTTCAAACCCCTTCCAAGAGTTTTGCCTCCTGCAGAGTCAGGAGGCTGCAAATGCCCAAATTCACAGTGAAGGAGGTGGGTGCTGGACGTGCCCCTTGTGAAGGTCACAGAGCCAGCCAGGAGCTGATCAGCTCTGCTAATTAAGCAGGCATCATTAGTGTCCTCACCACGAAAGCTTGCTGTCAGGAAGAAGCTGAGGGTGTAATGAGGCTCCGGGTGGTTTTGGGACTCTGCTTTCCTAGTCAGGTCCCACCTCACACCTTGGGATGCAGAAGGAGCATCTCTGCACCAGAACAACCCTTCTCTGGCCAAGCTCCAGCCCCTCAAGGGCCTTCTGGGAGGGAGGGGCCCAAAACTGCCCCCAGGATTGGAGGGGCAGCCTCCCCAGTGCCCAGCCCAGGGGGACGATCCCTGCCCTACTCCTGCTGGCCACACCAGTGCTGGCCCAAGCCAGGATGCTGGTGGCCTTCTTGGCCCCCTGGGCACACGCTGCCTCCTCTCCAGCTGCCTGTCCCCCAACCCCCCAGGGCCTTTCCCTGGGGCACTTTCCAGCCCCTCTGCCCCAGCCTGGAGCTGCAGGGGGTTGTGGTGACCCCAGGGCAGGACCCGGCCCTTGGCCTGGTTGACCCTCAGCCCATTGGCCTCAGCCCATGGATCCAGCCTGGCCAGACCCCTCTGGGGAGCCTCCAGCAGATCAACACCCCCACCCAACGTGCTGCCATCCCCAAAGTGCCCAAGGGTGATCGTTAAGCTCCTGGGCACTGCAGTGCTGGCTGCAGAGGCTGGCACAGGGGGCTAGAGATGAACTGGGTGACAGGGACCCTCTTCTGGCCACAGCAGAGAGCTGGGGGTCCCTCCGAGGGGGCAGAGAAGCCCCTCTCCCCTCTCTGCTGAGCTGTCTCTGGCTGTGGTGCTCCCGGGGTCAAGCAGGGGGCTGCAGGAGGAGCCAGGCTGGCACCAGCACTCACCAGGCCTGGAGGGCACAGATGGGATCGATCTCGGTGACGTAGACGATGGAGCCCATGGCCTTCAGAGCAGCACAGCAGCCCTTGCCAACCTGGGGGGAGAGGAGCAGAGAGGAGGAGTGAGATGCTGAGGGGCTCAGGAGATGCTGAGCACCACCACGACCACGGGATGGTTCATCCCCAGCCCTCCCCGAGCTCCTCTGGCACGTGTTGGGGTTCTGGGGAAATTGCTGGATTTGGAGTGATGCAGGAGCTGAGTCAGGCCCAGCTCAGCTAAGAGAGGCACTGAAAAATGGAAAACTGTTGATCTTGATTCCAGGGAAGGGTTTTTCCCCCCTTAAACATCTTGATATTGAGAAAGCACCATGATAACAAGAGGTTGTTCTTATCAGAGGGCAAGCTGGAGACTCTCTTGTGAGCTCTCCTCTACTCAGGAAGCTCAGGGGTTTAATCAGAGGGTTAATGAGCTTTAACCTTCACACAGGAACTCAGGCCAAAGCTGAAACCACCAGGACTTCCCCAAAAAATGCAATTCCACATCAGAAATTGGTGTCATTTCAGCTCTCTGGGAAAAACCAAGAACCCCAGTAGAGCACCAGTGTGACTGGTGTTCACTGGTCCCAAGGAGAACTGCTGGAGGGTGATGGTCCCAGTCTCCAGAGACCTGCAGAACCCAACCCCTCAGGATTCTGATAGTCTTTTACAGAGAATAGAAGGGATAATAGAAATACAGAAGGGAACAGCAATAGAAAAGAGAAGAGAAATAGAAAAGAGACTATCATAGTAAAAGAAAATATCAATATATGGTCTATTAATATCTGGATATAGCAATATTCAGATAATAAAGATATTCAGATGCTTCCTACTCGTGTCTCTCAAGATTCAGGCTCAGTATCTGTTTAATACTAAAGAAATATTGGATATTAATTGGAGATGAATTTTAAAGATATTGGAAATCAAGAAAATCTTCAGTTTTGGCCAACCCACCAGGTTTGAAGGTCCTGGCAGCTGCAGAGAAAAGGCAGGAGGCCAGAAGAGCCCTGTTGGGTAAAGCCAAGCCAAGGATGTGCCCATTGTACATGAGAGAGGGGAGATGTGAAGCACTCACCTCCCCATAGCCACACACCACGACCTGCTTCCCTCCAAACATCATGTCTGTTGTCCTTTTAAGGCTGAAGAAGAGGAAAATAAAGAAAAAAAGACAATGAAAGACCAACAGCAGGACCTGCTCCACTGAGAAGGCTCAGAAAGTCCTTCACAAGACCTCCACTATGGTCCTTCACAAGACCTTCACCATGGTCCTTCACAAGAGCACAGGTCCCCGTGGACATGCAGCAATTCTGGGGGCAGAGAAGACCTGAAGGGCACCTAAAAACTGATTTTTTTTCCCCTGTGGTAAAGGGGGTGCTACGAGTGACACACAACAAAGAAGAAAGGTTTGGGGGTTGGACCCCTTTTTTATTGTTTCTGCCATTTTTTGTTGGATCTCTTTGTTTCAGTACTCCAAAAATAGTGATAATATTTACCAAATTTCTTTTTTTTAAATTTTTTTGCTTTTTTTAAGTGAAAACACCCCACAGAATTAACCCCAGAAGGGAAGTGGTAATTTATGGCCAGAATCTCAGTGTTTTCCCAAGCAGAGCTCTCCCTTCCACTCACTTTCCTCCTGGTTTCTCCCAGAGAGTGTCCTACATTAGGGGCTATTTTTAGCACACCAGTAAATAGGTTACCAGTGCAGGGAAGGTGAAATTCCCTCACAATTCTGAGAGAATTCAGCTAAAAACCCCCCAGCAGACTGAACTGCTCCTCTGCTTCCACTCCCCTTGGCCCAGTTTCAGATGCCTGGCCCAGCCTTAACCCTGATCCCAACCTCTCCACCCATGAGGTCCATCACCCACCACAGCTGAAGACAAGAGGGTTTTTTGTGATTCTTAGATTTTTTGATGTTTCTCAGCCACTGACAGCATCTGCTACACATGGACCATGGACTAAATGCTGTGTCCTCAGCTCAAATCCTGGGGACAACCCACCACTGGTCCCCCCCATGGCAGATACTGGCTGGTGTGCCTTGATCCCCGTGACCACCAAGCAGAGCTGTGGCCATAATGAAGAAGAAATGGCTTCTTAATTAGAAGAATTACTTCATCAGGATGTTTTCACAGAATCAGAGAGTGGTTTGGCTTGGAAGGGACCTTTTGAGGTCATCCAGTCCAACCCCCTGCAGGGAGCAGGGACAGCCCCAACTAGAGCAGGGTGCTCAGAGCCCCGGCCAACCTCCCCTGGGATGGTGCCAGGGATGGGGCAGTGACCACCTCTCTGGGCAGCCTGGGACAGGGGCTCACCACCCTCAGATTCCAAAATTTCTTCCTTCTCTGTAGTCTAAATCTCCCTTGAGGAGTTTCAAACCATCCCCCCTTGTCCTGTCCCAACAGCCCCTGCTCCAAAGTCCCCCCCAGGTTTCTGGCAGTCCTGGCAGCCCCCAGCAGGTCTCCCCAGCTGGAGCCTTCTCCTCTCAGCTGCCCCAGCCCAACTCTCTCCTGCTGGGCTCCCAGCAGAGGGGTTCCCCCCTCGGGGCATTGCTGGGGCTCCTCTGGCCCCGCTCCAGCAGCTCCCTGGCTCTGCTGTGCTGAGGACTCCAGAGCTGCCCCAGCACTGCAGGGGGGTCTCCCAGAGCTTTATGTTTGGAGAGCTTTACACAGAATTGTACAAATAACTCTTAGGACCTTCTGACCCACAGAGAGGTCGCTGCTCTCTCAGAACACCCCACAGATTCCCATCTTGGATGGAAACAGGATGGACCAGAGGTAATCAAGGGGCTTTGTTCTCAGCCACATCAACTGATCCCAAACGAGTGGGACTGGCAGGTAGGACAGAGGCAAGGACCCAGGTCCCTGTGGGGTCTGACAGGTACATACCCATCCAGGATGGACTCCCTGCAGCAGTACAGGTTGTCAAACTTCTGCTTTGTGACCGAGTCGTTGACGTTCATGGCTGGGACACAGAGTTTCCCTGCCTTGGACAGCTGGTACAGCCTGGCAGGAACAGGGGAAGAAAGAAATCAGGGGGAGAATATTTCCCTACTCTCCACTGCTGTGTGCTCTCAAGGTTCTTGTTTCTCTGGAGCGAGCAGCAGACACCTGGAGGGTCAACCATAGACCTCTGAAGAGCTCCTCAAGTCAGGAGGAGAAATCACACCCTTCCTTCCACAGACACTTGTCCCCATCTCCCACCCTTACTGAAGAACCACCAGGTTGGCAAGAGGCTTTTCATAAAAACATCAAACAGCAGAGATCAGAAGGTGCTCTAGACTCCATGGGCCTCCTAAGTGTTGATATTAGGACCACCCAAAGGACAAAACCCCCAAATCCTGCTTCAGATAACAGAAGATGAGAGCTCTTGAAGCTCCTGCAGCTCAAGACAAATCAGGGTGGCCACAGGAGGGTGACAGGCACAGCAGTGTGAAGCTGCTGAGATCAACTCCTGCACCAAAATATCCCTTTCAACAGCAGCAGGAGCCTGATCACCAAGATGTGGTGTGAGAAGCAACAAGGGTGGGGAGAATATCAACCTGACCTCCTACTTCTGAGAGCAGACTCAGCTCCTGGCAGCATCAGAACTACCCAAAATGACTCTAAAGGCTTCACTAGGGCTGCAAAGACAATCTGAAAATCATCTCCCTGCCTCACACCTTGAGGAGGGGGATGTAGAATCATAAAATCATTGAACTGTTTAGGTTGGAGAAGACCTTTAAGAGAATGGATTCAACCATCAACACGCTCCCTTGGTCAGGCTCTACAGACCACCTGCAGGTTTCTCTTTGTCACCTGAGGAGCTTCAGCCCTCACACTGTCTGTCTCCTGGAGGTGAGGTCTCCAGGTGCTCCTTGGCACCAGGGAAGGTTTCAGTTGGATTTTGGGAACAATTTCTTGCCCTGGAGGGCTGTGGAGGCCTGTGCCAGGCTGCCCAGGGCAGTGGTGGAGTCCCCACCCCTGGAGGGGTTTCCAAGCCGTGGAGATGTGGGGTGAGGGACACGGGGCAGTGGGGACCTGGCAGGGCTGGGGAAGGGTTGGACTCCAGGATCTTGAAGGTCTCTTCCAACCAGCCAGCACAGTTCTGTGATTTTATGATGCCACCAACCTCAGCCAACAGCCTTGCTCCTGCCAGGAGACTGATGGATGGCACTCATGGTCTCATCTTTGTGGTTCTCCTTTTCTGGACTCCCACCCCCAGCAGAGACTCATTTCCTCTTCCCAAATCTCACTTCTTCCCAGAGATTCATTTTACACTTCTGACCTTCCCCAAAGCCCACTCCTTCTTGGGCAACACCCTCACCCCTTCCTCTTTCCATCTGCACAACAAGGGGAGACAACCATTGCCCTGATCTCCCAGGTGGACATCCAAGACCTTGGGCACTTTTTCCACCCAGGCAATGGTTGGTAGATGCTTCTACTCCTCATCTGCAGTTCAGAGCAGGAGTTCCAAGTTGCTTTCACTGTAGGAGAGATTAAAAACAACTCTTCTTTTTGTTTATGAGCCAAGCCCAAGCTGAAGGAAAACCACAGACCACGGATTAGGAAGCTCAATGTCCAGCCAAGTCTGTGGCACCTCCCAGCTTGGGGATCTTTTGCCACCAGCACCTTGAGGCAGAAAATGCTTTTTTGTCCCATGTCCCCAGTCCATCCTGTCCCATTACCTGTGGACACCAGTCACACTCTCCTCTACTATCCCCTTGATCTTCTTAAACATGTTGGGGTATTTCTTGTAAATCCAGTGAGTGAGATCTCCTCCATCATCCAAGATCTGCAATAAAAATGACCACAAAGTCACCACTCTGGAGAGCCACTGAGGCCTGTTGGCCCCAAAAGGTACAAGAGATAAATCACAGGCTCACATCATTCCTAACCAAGCCCATGTTTGGGCATCTCAAATACCCTCTTGTGGTGTTTGATGTTGACCTCGACATCCGTAATGAGACCAGAGGAAAATTGCTGTGGAAGCTCCTCTTGCCCCAGCTCCCAGAAGCACAGATGGAAAAGTCTTTGAAGCACACAGAGCCAACAGCTTTTCTGGGATGGCTGTTAATGGAGGAGGATGGAGGAGGATGAGGATGGAAGAGGGTGGAGGAGAAGGATGGAGGATGGAAGATGGTAGAAGAGAAGGATGGAGGAGGATGAGGATGGAAGAGGGTGGAGGAGAAGGATGGAGGATAGAAGATGGTGGAGGAGAAGGATGGAGGAGGATGAGGATGGAAGATGGTGGAGGAGAAGGATGGAGGATAGAAGATGGTGGAGGAGAAGGATGGAGGAGGATGAGGATGGAAGAGGGTGGAGGAGAAGGATGGAGGATGGAAGATGGTGGAAGAGAAGGATGGAGGATGGAAGAGGGTGGAAGAGAAGGATGGAGGAGGATGAGGATGGAAGAGGGTGGAGGAGAAGGATGGAGGATAGAAGAGGGTAGAGGAGAAGGATAGAGGATGGAGGAGAATGGAGAGGGAGGAGGAAGGAGAAGGAGGGTGGAGAAGGATGGCAGAGGATGAGGGTGGAGGAGGAGGAGGATGGAAGAGGGTGGAGGAGAAGGATGGAGGATGGAAGATGGTGGAAGAGAAGGATAGAGGATGAAGGAGGAGAATGGAGAGGAAGGAGGAAGGAGAAGGAGGGTGGAGAAGGATGGAAGAGGATGAGGGTGGAGGAGGAGGGTGGAGGAGGAGGATGAGGGTGGAGGAAGAGGATGCAGGAAGAGCAGGATGGTGGATGAAGAATAGAGAAGAAAGAAGACGGAGAAGGAGAGTGGAGAAGGATGGAAGAGGATGAGGGTGGGGAGGAGGAGGATGGAAGAGGAGGATGAGGGTGGAGGAGGAGGATGCAGGAAGAGCAGGATGTTGGATGGAGAATAGAGAAGAAAGAAGATGGAGAAGGTTTTCAGCCTGGGAAAACAAAACAAAACAACAAAACACATGTCCTTTAGAAAGAAATTGAAGATCTTGTGGAGGATAGGTGTCAGGAGACCCAGTTAGTGAGTGGAGGCTTTTGAGATGGGTTAAATGTATAGTGGAGGAGGAGGAGGATGGTGCAGAACCACTAATGCCAATTACAATGTAACTGCAGCACAAACACATCAAAAATACTGAACCTCTTCTAGACAACAGCCTTGGGTCTCCACCCACTTCCTCTGGCTTTGAACCTCAACCTCAGAAGCACAAAACTCTTCTTCATCAGATCCTGAGTCTCCTGAGCTGCCCATTTCCTCCTGGTGACAGGTTGCAGGGCAGTGGAGAAAGCCAGAGGCTTATTGCTTTAATAAAAACACTCAAGAGGAGCCAGTAAAGGTGCCCTTGGAGAAGGGGCCTTGGAAAGGATGGACACAAGAAGGATTCCATCACAGAAATCTAAAAATTCCTCTGCAAAGACATCTAAGAGCTTGTCTGCTCTCTGCTGGTGGCCCCAGTCCCAAGCACTCTGGGAACACCTCCACACAGCCACACCCAAGGAGGGTGGTGAGCTCTAAATGCTTCAGAGGGACCCCCTGGGGACCATCAAGAGGTGTCTGGGAAAGAAGAAAGGATAGAAGTAAAGAAAAAGCCCTAAATTCCTGCATTTCCCCAAGTCCTCCTGCCACCCAGGTGGCCTCAGGTGGCCCCAGTAGTGCCCAGGCAAGGTGGGAAGGGTGACAATCCCCACCAGACTCAAGAAAAAGGGGAGCAGGTTCCACTGAGCAGCAGAAGTGCCCAGGACCTGTTCTGGTGGGGCTGGCTCACAGCACGTTGCCCCATGTTATCATGACCCTCCTCCTCCTCCTCTTCCTCCTCTTGGCATGTTCCCCACACCAATGTCAAAGACTTCTGACTCCATCATCATCATTGTCTTCTTCACATGTTCCCTAC